ACGCCTCTTTAGACTTTTTTTTTTAGAAATTAAAATCAGCAGTGAAATCTATGCTTTTTTCATGTTCTTCATTTTGTTTATTCCGAATATCTCACTACTTTTCTTGTGATTTTGGGGTGAAATATGACACTTCAGGACAGTGTTTGTGATGTTCCTGCTATGAGACACACAGTAGCTGGTGTGTATTGTGTGAATGAGATGAGGCACAAACCCGCGCTCGTTCCGCCTCCTGCAGCTCCAGCATCCTTTTGGCCCGGGCCAGGTGGTCCATTTGCTCGAAGGACTTCACCTTTCCCCGGAAGGTGCGGCTGGCGGGGTCATTGAGAGGGTCGCCGGAGGTCGTGTCGTCTGCGGGGCCCGTCCTCGAGGTGAAACTGGGCTTCTGGGCTACCGGCGGTGGAAGAGGTCTGCTACTGACAGGAGCATCACTGCTGACTGTGCTGCTGGAGTGAGAGTCTGCAGGACGTGAAGCTGCCCGGACCTGCAGGAACAACAGTTACTGTCTGTGATGAGCTTCAGAAACACCTCAGGGGAGGAAAACACTGACCTTAGGGGGTTCAGGGACAAATGATGGAGGCGGGCTGGGGTCCCGCTGCACCTCTTTGCTCGCAGGCTTCTTTAAACGCTCATGAGGAACAGGAATGGGTCTCTGCGTGAAAGTGAAAAAAAAGTGATAAACGTAGCATTAAGTCATTTAAAAATACATACAAAAAAAAATTAATGCACACCTACAACAGAAAAGTTTTCAGTTCCTGAATTTAAATGTACTTTGATATAACAACTCTTGAAAGGTTTAAGTAAAAGGTTTTTGACATTTTTTGTATTATTATAATAATAATTATTATTTTTTATTTTATGTACACCAAGGCTGTATTTTTTTTATATAAAAGATATGAAATATTATTACAATTTAAAATACCTATTTTCAAATTTTAATATATTTTGAAATGTAATTTATTCCTTTATTTTTTTCAGCATCATTACTTCAGTCTTCAGAGTCACATGATCCTTCAGAAATCACTCTAATATGCTGATTTGCTGCTCAAGAAACATTGCTGATTATTATTAACATTGAAAATGGTTTTGCTGCTTAATATTTTAGTGGAAACTCAAGTGGATCAGCATTTATTTGAAACAGAAATCTTTTGTAACAAATGTCTTTATTTTAATGCATCCTTCCTGAATAAAATATAAATTTTATTTAAAAAAAAAACCTAACTCTTAATTTTTTTTGACAGCAGTGCAAAGTAATCTTATTATTATTTAAAAAAAAAAAAAAGGAGGAAGAAAGAAAAACATGTTTCCTGCAAGTTCCGTTAGTGAGGCGTATACATATTATTAAACATAAAATTACATCACAGAATGGATCCTTGTAAAAACATTATGTTTTTATGACAGTCATTAAAAAAACTATAAGAAGTCTTGCTAGCTGGAAAATAACTGTTTTTGCCTTGAAAAATGTTATAAACATTTTATGTACATTCACATGTGTTTAAACTATTTTACTTCTAGAGTTATTAAATCAGGGCTTTTTTGAATGGCACATACATTCAGTGTGACTAAACAAGAGTGTCTGATTTCTGGCAGATAGTTTAAAGATCATGTGTCAGACTGATGTTGAACATGACTGTGTGTTGAATATGCAGTTTCTCGAGTGTCCTGTGGCGAGCAGCGTGCTCAAACCAGGACCATGAACACTTTTCTTATCACTGATACTCGTATATGTCAGTCAGTGATAATGATATCGATACTGAAAACAGGATGAGTGACCTTTACAGATGTTTATAATCAAATGTTTCCAGTTAGTTTATGGGTAGGGCTTAAATCACCTTCCTGACTGTGGTCAAATGACAGGAAGGTTTCCACAGCACACTTACCTCCTCGCTAACAGGCTCAGACGAGCGGCTGATGGCTGACTTCGGCTGCGGCTCGTCGGTGGACTCGTCAAGCTCGTTATCGGTGTACGCGCCGCCCTCATCCGCCGTATCCTCGTAATCGCTGGTCAGACGGCTGTCCATGCTCAGGTAGTCTGCACCCATGGCCGACAGGTACGACATACGGTCATCATGGAGATCCAAGTCCTCCTCAGACCCATCAAGCTGAAACGATATATATAATACCTCTCAAAGGTCTGATGATGGTCATTTCACATGTCAATTCAGGCTGGCTAGGCATTAACTTACATGATTAACTCAATTAGAAAATCTGGTTTGTTTAAGGGAATACAAAACTATGAAATGAAGCCCAGTTGTTTGTAATTGTGTTATGTGTTACCGCTTACCTTGCTTTCACAGACCCAGACAGCTTTATCTTGTTGTTCTCGTATGGCATCCTTGAGACTTCCAAACCAGGCATCATGGGAAGAGTTCAGATCAATGGTAGCTGGACAGGGAAGCATCATTTAGACATTTATAACTTTATTTTTTAAGGAATATAATTTTTATAATTTTATTTTATTTTTCTTCTATAATTATATTTTAATTCCGAGAGTAAAACTCTGTTGTGTAGCACTTCGTTGGCCAAAAAAAAGTAGCAATTTATATATATATATATATATATATATAATACTTCTATATATAAGATTAATTGAATTATTACTGTTACATATTCATTTGATTACCTCCATTTTTGATAAAAAAAAAACTATTAATTCATAAATCCAGAACAATTAAACAGACAACCCAAAATTTCTGGAAAAAATAAAATATTTTATAGGGCACCATTTTTGTAAAAATGTCAATAAATTGAGTTTCATGAATTCAATTGATCAGACATGCTTTTTGATTAAAGTTTAAACCATTAAAATGCAATGATGACAAAAAACAAAAGGAAAACACAATTTGAGAAGAATAAAACTAATTTCACGGTGCCCTAACTTTTCTTACACTGTGTCCTAACTACACGCGACGCGACAAGATTCCAGAAACTAGACGCGACGCAACAAAATCAGATATCACAGCCAATCAGAAGCGTGTGTGGGCGGGCTCTCTTTGGAAGCGCACTGCACTCGCAACGAAATGGATAAGTGTATAATCTAATTCATAAATATGAAGCATTTTTAACATCATTAAATGTACATACTGAGTGACTGATTGTTATGGAAAACACTTGCTGGTTCGCAGTGAGTTCACAGTTTTAACGGACATCTTTGCTTTAATTTATTTTCAAGATCTGAGGTAAACTCTGTTGTTGCTTTCAGTTTGGCTATAAGGTCACGCATTATGATATTTAAACTCATATTAGACACGTGTAACTTTGAATAAAGCACATAATCATTATAAACTGTATAGTTTGTATGTTGTTGTTCCAGCCGCGACGTCGCAGAAATAGAAACCGTTTCTAAATTAGAAATTTCGCGTGTCGCCGTCGTAACTAGTTAGGACAAAAACTCTGATTAACATGGAAAAGATACCTTTTATCGTGTGTCGTGGCATCGTATGTATTTAGGACACGGTGTTAAACTTTTAATAAATTGTTATTAAATGAATTTAAATTTAGACCTCTTTATTGATTGCTAACATTTAACTGAACCATCAAAAAAAAAAAAAAAAAACAGTTAAAGAAAAAAAAAGTTAAAAACTGAATCCGGACAAATAAAACACGAAATTTGAATAAATAAATAAATAAATCAGAACTGGGGAAAGAATAAAATGGCTCTTATATGAGCGTAATTTTGAGGAAAGGCTCATGGGACTAACCAGTGAACAGGTGTGAGCAGGTTTTGCGCAGTTTAACTGCTTGTTCGTAAAGCTTGCGTGAGCTGCGGCTGGAGCCGGGAACCAGACGGTTTCTCATGGTCTTCACCCCCTGCTTACTGTCTGGGTTGAGAAAAATGACGATGGGATACCACTGGGTGTAGTTTAGGGTGTCTACAGCCTTTGGGGTGACGTCAAGCAGAGCATGTCGGTCCTAGGAACAAGAAAAGAATATTCTTAGATGTTGATGAATTGCTGTTATATTCATAAATTCAGAACGGTGACTGTGTTTACCTGATCGATGATCTGACGAATAGTATTGAGTCTCACAACACCAGACGACTTCTCTGAGCCCGCGTCTTTAGGCTCTGTCTCTGTCATGGGACAAACACAGATCAAACACCTTATCCATAACTACACATCAATATATAAGAAGAGATCTTTCATACAAGTTGTGAATTGCTTACTTGCTGTGACAAACTCATCTGGAAGATCATTGCTCAGTTTTTCATTGGCCGCATCTGAAATAGGGCCGAATATTACGACAGGTCTTCTGAACCCAGCTGGTGGGGGAGAAACAAAAATACTTAGTACATAAACATGTCAAGCTTCTTAACTAAAATGACATAAAAATATTTTTATATATATATATAAAAAATATAATAATAATAATATTAATTTTATTTTAAATTTATTTAAAAAAAAATCTAAAAATATATATTTAAATTAAATGTATTAAACAAAACACACTGAGTGCCTTAAATAATCAGCTCTAAATTATAAATAAAAAAATAATAGGATTAAACAAAATACTTTATACATAAATAAAAGGCATGTATAAATTAACAAAATGCATATAATTTGAAACTTGCTGTTTTTTTATAGGTTTTAGAGCCTCAAGTGAAATAGCACTAGAAATAAAAATAACTTAATTTTTTTCTACATTTTCTTAATTAATAAAAATAATTAATAATTAATAAAATTCATTAATAAAAATGTATTACTTAAAAAAAAAAAAAGATTTTTTTATTTAGCCCCAAATCATTCAAATGTATATTTAAACAGAAATGCATGTTAGGTAAAGCAATGCATGATGGGCAAACCTTCCCGCAGCACCACTCTTTCGTAGCCTGGGAAGCGTGTAGTGACGGGTGTAGCGCTCAGATCCTCTCTGCTCTTGCGAAGGTCTTTTTTCTTAGCTGCTCTTTGACCTCTCAGCCTCCAGAAATCTCCTCTATCATTGGCAGCGCCTTTCTGTGCGTTCTGAACATTTGCCATCTGCTCCGCTCTGACAGTATACAAATAAACAAAAGGATTACACAAACACCTAACAGATAATGTGCTTTTAATATCAACATGAAATAGCAGACTAGGTGATGTCAGCAAACGTCATTTCAGAGGGTCAGTTTTGATTTCATGTTGAGTTTTCCTCCTAGCAATGCTAAATAAATACAGTAAAACTAAGACCTTTTAAGGCACTGTGTATTTCATGTCTCACCTGCTCTTGTTGGGTATGATGCCTTTCTCCAGGAGCTGATTGTCTTTGTCCATGCGGATGGCGAGCCAGTTACCCAGCTTTCCGTCATACAGGGTGTCCACCACTTTAAATATCTCTCCTCTGGAGAAAGTCAAGCTCTGAGGAAGCTCTTTCTCATATTCAAAATGAGTTCTGATGAAGAAGTTATCACCTCGTCCAGATGCCAGGATGTCTTTATACACTAAAATAAAGCAAATGAGAGTTATTCACATCCCTTCTATTGCTCAAAATTACAAGGCATTAGACAAAAAAATAATAATTGTATGTTTTGAAGTACCATCAGGTTTGCTTTGAGCTAAGATGGTCACATCCTCTCCTTTGGGAATCTCTAGTAAATACAGGACTGCATCTTCCCGGACCATTCCTCTGAAATCCATATTATTCACCTGCAGGGGAAGAAAAACACAAATGACCACTGGACAATGTGGGAAAATGTATGATGGATAAAGGCACATAATATTAAAATGCAGAGCCAGTGCTGTTGCACCTTCACGATCTGGTCTCCAGTGCGGAGTCCCTCTATCTCGGCAGGACTGTCCTCCTGAATGCCTGCGATAAAAATGCCCACATCGTTTCCTCCAGCGAGACGCAGGCCAACACTATCGCCCTTCTGGAAGCGCACCATCACAGTGTTGGGGCTGTGGGAGATTATTCGTTAGAACCACAAAGTTGTCCAAATATATCAGTAAGCAGCATAAACAGGACCTTAGCACATGTGAAAAATATTTTATGTCAAGGAGTGTCTCTAGATAATACATGCAAAAATATAATGCATAAATGGATACTGAAATTAAATAGTTTATTGGTGGCTATTTTTGCCGAGTTGTCAGAGTGATTTCTACTATGTCAGCAAGATACTGCAAACGCACTTCAACCAAACTTCAACATCCCTTTATCAAATATGTTTTCACTATAGAACGAATTAAATTAACAATATGGACAGCTTTCAAGTTTATCTTAAAATATGAATTCAAAGCCAAGAGTGAATCCGGTACAAACCCGTATATTTCCTGGTCCTCCAGACTGGGCTGCAGGGGAACCTTTGGCAGAGGCTTGGCTTTTACTGGAACACTTTTTGGAGCAGCATTTACCACAGGAACTGTATACAAAAAAAAAATCTGTTTCTTCTATTCTTCTGATTCTACATGGTGAAAATGACCATGTATTGCATTCAGAGGTCTCAAGCTCAATTCCTGAAGGGCCGCAGCTCTGAAGAGTGTAGCTCCAACTCACACCTACTTGGAAGTTTCTAGTAAACCTGAAGAGCTTGATTAGCTGGATCAAGTGTGTTTGATTAGGGTTGGAGCTAAACTGTGCAGAGCTGTGGCCCTGCAGGAATTGAGTTTTAGACCAGTGCATTAAATAATTAAATTTTCAATAATCCACTGTGGTGTAGAGGAACTGTGGTACCTGGAGACTCGCTGCGAGGCTCTTCTTTCTCCACAGGTGGAGGCGGGAGCTCCACCGGCGCCGCTCTGAATGGAGTCGGCATCGCTCCCATTTTAGCCAGTCTCTTGGGAGGCCCATCTCTACCAACAGAAGAAAATGACTTACTCCCTTTGCACTGGCTTTTGTAACATTTCTGTTTAATGTGTTGTCAGTTCATTTGTAAAATCATTGAATCATGCTTCTGCTTCTTTCCTATTTCCTTTTAAGTTCTATCATAAATTTGGCAGTTTTCTAGTTTATTAGTTGCATCCACATAAATGTGTTTAATACTTTCACCGAACTTCAGTTCCTCGTTGTTTTTATGCTCTGATTATTAACCAAATGATCTAATATGAACGTTATCACCCTCTGAAATGTTAATTTGGCTAACGTAAATACTTTTTGCTAGTAACTTGCAGCATCAGTATTTGTTTTAAAGGGTAGCTTGACTGAAGTTTAAACAGCATATAAATTATTAACTTCTGAGTAATTAACTAGCTACTTGGTAACACTTTACAATAAGGTCCCATTAGTTAATGCATTAACTCACATTAAATAACAACGAGCAACACATTTGTTAGAGCATTTATTAATCTGTTAGGTAATAAGAAGCAGCTGTTCATTATTAGCTCATGTTAGCTCAGGTCCATTAAATAATATTAGCAAATACTACTTTTGAATTGAATAATGTATTGGTTAATTTTAAAATTAACATTAACTAAGATAATAAATGCTTTAGAATTTTTTTATTGTTAGTTCATGTTAACTAATGTAGTAAACTAATGTTAGGCTAAATGGAGCCTTATTGTAAAGTGTTGCAGTAACTCAAACAGTCATCAGTGACAGCTGAATTCTGAGGCTATGGCAGTGTGTTACCTGTTTTTGTCCTGCAGTCTCTCATTAGAGGAGTGTGAGGAGAGGTCTGAGTGATGACTCCGCCGGTCCTCCTGAGGAGAATAGGAGCGGTACGACTCGATCTCTGAGATATCTGAAACACACATGTACAACATGTCGTCATCACACTTGCTTTAAAGCACCATTATTGGCACAGTGCATGATGGGTTATACACCAAAGTCTCAAAGGTTTGAATCCCTAAACCTGAGAAATATAAAACACGCTACTAATTAAAACCAGATTTGTTTCCCTTCAATCCTACATCTTACATTATTTGATGTAAAAACCAATATGGAGGATTTTCAGAAGAACATGAACAAACAACTTCCAAAACATGGTACAAGTCTCACTAGAGTTTATAAAATGACATTTTTCATAAGCTTTGGATTATGGGTAGGGTTTATGCAATCCTCCCAAAGCCAAAAGCCTTTCTCTCCAATCCAGTGTCAGTACAGCAGTCCAAAAAAGGCAAGAGGTCAGAGGTCACTTAGAGATTAAGGCTGGGTTTCGCCAAATACCTCACAAAATCATACATCACTATAATGTACATAAGTCACAAGGTAATTATATATATACAAACAATATTTAATCGAACCATAATCAGTATGAATTATTGTTCATTAAATATTTTAACTGAATAAAATATATTGATGCAAAAACTAAGTACTGAAGCAAAATAGTGAGAAAATGCAGAAAACGTTTCTTACACATGTGCACACAAATGTTTTTTTAATCTAATGTCCATTAGAATGGGAATGTCCCTCCTCTAAACCAGGGGTTTTCAATCTGTGGGGCGCGCCCCCCTGAGCATCAGTTAATTCAGAGACGTTCACTTGAGAATTTATGAATATGAGTTAACAATTTGCACGTGTCCTAAAAGGTTGAAAACCCCTGCTCTAAACCAACAGCAACAACAAAGAGCAAATCCCTTTGATATGTCCCACCCCAAATTTCTGTTTTAATATGAAATGCAACAGTGGCCAAATGAAAGAGGGCTTCAGTGCAATCAGAAAAATTGTAATTGTTCATTTTCAAGTGTTTTGATCTACTCACCATCTATTTCCGAGTCGCTGTCTGCCATAGGTGGGATTCGGATGAGTGCCTGACTGCGATCCCTCTGCACCACCAGCTGCAGCTTCCCACGAGACTTCTCAATCAGCTTCCCTGCGTCGCTCAGAGACAGATTCTCTGTGACCGTACCGTTAATCTGACACATGGAAATAAGCATCAATAAATAACAAAGTACAACAAATTTGAGAAAAAAAACTAACTTCCATTCAAAAGTTTGGGGTCAGTAAGTTTTAGGACCAGTAAGGACCTGATGGCATCTCAAAACACCTCTCTGTCACACTACAGTGTTTGTGTGTCTGTATGTGTGTGAGAGAACACAATAGTATACTATATATATATATATATATATATATTTTTTTTTTTTTTTTTTTTTTGTGACACTGAAGACTGGAGTAATGATGCTGAAAATCCAGATTTGAAGTTGAACACAGGAATAAATGACCATTTGAAATATATTCATATAGAAAACAGCTTATAAAATTGTAATAATGTTTCACAGTTTTTACGGTATTTCTGACCAAATAAATGCAGTCTTGGTGAGCATTAAAAAGTTGCTTGGTTACCAAAAACATGAAAAAGGGAAGTGCTTGCTAGTGCAAAATGCATCCCCACAATGCTAGGATACTGCTGTGGTTACCAGTGCACTGCAATGTGGTTGATAAGCTGTTCTGAATAGTGTTGCAAATGGTTGTTATTATAAAGTTATATATTTTGTAGGCCATAGGCTTATATATTTTGTATATATAGGCTAGACATTTTGTGGTGTGTTCTGAGTGGTTGTTCAAGAGACGTACTTTCAGAATAATGTCACCTTCCTGTAGTTTGCCTTGTTTGGATGTCAGGCCGGTGCTCGTCATCTCTTTGATGAACAGTTGACTGCCAAGACGAAGGCCATATTCTGGACAGATATGAGAAAACATCATGTTAGACGCTAGGCAGCAGGTTGAAACTGGAAACAGATAAACGTAGGCGGTGTGTCTCTACCGTCATTGGGCCGGTTCTTTAGTAGAGTAACACTGAGCGGCTTCTCCAAGGGTTCGTCTCGTTGTGGCGGCGGCGAGGGCGAGCGATCCAGCCGGTCTCGACTGCTACTCCTCCTCATGGATTCGTCCTGCCGCGGATCGAAGCTCCTGCGCTCGTGGCCGCTGGCTAAATTCTCTCTGCTGTATCCTGGAGCCGGTTCGGGCCTGTACCGTGTCTCAGGACTATGTGATCTCTCCAGTGTATGGTCGCTGCGGTACTGTCTGTCCGGACTCTGCTCTCTGTCCAGGTTGTGTTCGCTGCGATAGCGTCGGTCTGGACTGTATTTGCGGTCCAGTGTGCGATCGCTTCGGTAGCGGCGGTCCGGACTGTGGTCACGATCCAGGTTGTGGTCACTTCGGTAACGGCGGTCGGGGCTGCGCTCGTGGTCCAGCATTCGGCCGCGGCTGCCGTCTCGTCTGTACTGTCTGTCGGGGCTCAGGCCGCGCTCCATGCTCCTCCCGCGGCTGCGATCGTAGTCGCGATCACGCTCGTCTGCGTAACTCGCGTCGCGGTCAGGGTAGCTGCGGCCGCTGTAGACGCTGCGCCGGTCGTGGTCATAGTCGTAGTCGTTGTTGTAGTCGCCACTAAAGACGCGGTCGTCTGGGGACGCGGCACGTTTAATCACGCTGACGGGGATTTTTCTTGATCTCTTTACCGTCTGATGAATGATGGGGACAAAAATTAATTGTTCATTCATTAAATTCTGATTTCAGCTGCCAGTGATTTACAAACATGGCCAATAAAATTATAACTGAAATGACAAATAATTCAAAAGGTTACACTCACGATTTTGGCTACTTTGCCGCATTTGCGGAGAGTCTGCACTGCAAAGGCGTGTTGGACACCGTCCATGGGCACATTGTTGACCTGGATCACTCTGTCATTTTCACTGAACAAGAGCATGAAACACTGTTAGGAAAAGTCTCTACACGTCAGAAAGTGACTTCCAATTCTTCCAACAGTTTAGCAATGTCAAAAGTACCAGCATAAATAAAACAAATAAAATCTTGAATAATAGTGTTGGCAGACAACAAATAAAATGCAATGCAATGCAATAAAATAAAATAAAATAAAAATAATAAAAAATAAACCTGAATATCAAAAATAAAAAATAAAGTTTATTTGTCAATTGCTTATAACTACTTTCTTGCATCTTTATTACTGACTGTTTACTGTGTGAAAAATTTGAGAGATACATGCTATTGTTTTAATTTGTTATTATTAATATTTATATTCACATTTCTTTGGTCAATTTTACATTTTTAGCTTTTAGTATATAATAGAATCATACAATAGCAATATAATGTATATATTTTAATTTATAAAAATATTTATATTTAATCTTTTTTTATTATTTTATTTAGTAGTATTTATACATGTATCTCTTCAAATAAAATTAGTGCATTCATTAGCATATACATTTTTTTGGTGTGGAAACTGGTATTGAGAATCGTTAAATTTCATTGTTTTTTCGTGACAACCCTACAATAGCTTTTTTACTTTAAATAGCACTTTAGGATTACAAATCTTATAAAAAAGGCTGGGATGTGTTTAATGTTGTTTCAGAGCTTACAATAGCAAGCCATCTGCAGGACCCCCTTGCAGCACATCGGATACGACAATTGACGCTTCTCCACTTTCTTCGTTCGGGTTGTCCCGCCCTCCAGACACAGCCATTCCAAAGCCCATCTTGGAGTCCTATTTATACACCAAAGAATGCATTTTATCTTACGCATGAATACATAGTTATTCATTTACAACAATAAATCACTTTAAATTCATGTAGATGTACAGGCAGCAATGACTAATTAACAAGTAACCCTGGAATTACGTTTTCCTGATATTTTGGATATAACAGTTATATCTTCAAGACAAACATTAAAAGTATGTGTGTGATAAAGTTCACCAAGAGGATAAAGCAATGATGATATGCTTTCTGCTGAGAGACAGCAGTGGTGGAAGATATATGACGTCTCTTATGTTCACCAACAATGCAAAAGTCTTTACGGTCACTTTTGATAAATTGAACGTATCCTCGCTAAATGAAAGTATTAAATTATATTAAAAAATATATATCTTGCTGAACCCAAACCATTGAATGGTAAATCTAGTAGTGCTAGAGGTGCAGAAATGACCACACACACACAAAAAAAATACCTATAAAAAGAATGTAAAGACTTTAGAGAGAAACCAATAAGCAGGAACTTTGGCTCTCCAAATAAGCACAGGGTGAGTACTCACCCGCTGTAGGGTCACAGTGTACTGCTCCCACACCGTCTCCTCCATGACTGGGTTCTGAAACAGTATGAACAGGCTTACATGTAGGGCAGTGATGGACAGAGTCAAGTTACAGCAGATATCAGTGATCTCCTGAGCAAAATCTGCAGCGTGGTGCTGCCACAGTGAAAAAGTAGATGAGTGTTTCTCTTCCAACCCATTTACATGAGCTCATCTGATTACTCAATGACAGACAGAACTGCAGATCTGAAGTATGTCTATATATTCAACCAGAAATAATTAGAGATCTGCAAGAAAGAACTATTTTATTACAAAACTGCCATCATATGTGGACTGCAAGGAAAAAAATTTAATGATTAACAAATGTATGGCATGACCCCTTTAAAATAAAAAGCCTGCATTATTTGAAAGCAATTATTTTAAAGGGAAGCCTGGTCAGTGAGTTAAACACTATAAACACAGTCTTCAGCATAAGTCTGAGAGCCACGTGACGTCCTGCGCCGCGAAACGCCTCCAGTTACCTCTTCATCCGCCCGTGCGCATGCTGGGTGATTATGATTGTTGCTCTTTAATCTCCTCAGGCAAATATGAATCCCAGAACTGCCCTAAATAATTCTCAACTAGGGCTGCATGATAAATCGCATGCGATATTTAATGCGCATCTTGTCAGAAAGCCGGTTCTGTAATCAGCGGTAAATCTCCATCACCTGCGGGCTTTCACATTGAGCAGCATTAAAGGGGTCATATGATGCTTTTTTAGCATGCGATTTATCGTGCAGCCCTATTCTCAACCCACATACACAACCGATGCCTTTTAGCATTTCATGTATAAATGATTTCAGTTTGTTGGTTTTCCTTCATGCTATAATCTGAAACATCATAACTGCACTAGTTAAACAAACTAAACACTATAACACGTCTAAGGCATTCATGCATTCCTCACGTCATCATAATACATGCATGTAATATCCATGGGTGTCGCTGTTTTAAAAAGTGGTGAACGTCACAAATTAAAAGGCTTAGCTTTTGAGGTTATACGCAAATAATCTATTATGATCTTTTACCATTTTCAAAGTTCATCCAAGCAACAACTTCAACAGTTTACTGACAAAAAAGTAATTCAGTGCACTGTGTTCTTACTGATCTGATTCTCACTAAACATTTTAAGCATTTTAGGTCAGTGGATTGAATGTCAAACATGACCTTGGTGAAGTAGTAATGTTTGTAGTTGGAAAGCATGGGATATTGGGTTCTATACTGCCCTACTTGCATATTAAAGTAATATTTTAGTTTATGCTTTTATTTTTATATACTTTTTATTAGTGCTGTCAAACGATTAATCACGATTAATCACATCCAAAATAAAAGTTTTCGGTAACAGAATATATGTGTGTGTACTGTGTATATTTATTATGTATATACAAAGATACAGTATATATTTTGAAAATATTTACATTTATATTAATATAATTTATATTATATATAAATATATTTAATATACAACATATATATTTTATATAACATTTTTATTAAATATATGCATGCATGTGTGTGTATTTATATATACATAATAAATATATATATACAGTACACACACATATATTCTGTAAACAAAAACTTTTATTTTGGATGTGATTAATCGTGATTAATCGTTTGACAGCACTACTTTTTATGAATAAATCAAAATTGCATCTGTGGAAAACTGAGAATTGACAACCACAACAACAAAACAAATATAACTAATTCCAGCACTTGATCACAACTTATTTTAGCACACATTAATACAATAAAAAATTCTGCTCAAAAATGTACAATTATTTGATAAGTATTTGCTGTGTGTGAACTACATCAAAAAGTGTTGGGGATAAAATCAGCCATGGGAAAAAGTTTGGAAACATGTTCCACTTGTTGCCACCGTAAACTATGAATAAACATACTAAAAATATGAATAGCAATAGCACACTGAGCAATTGTTACACTTTAAAAGCATTTTTGTAAAGCAACACAGGTGCTTAAGTGTTTAATCACTCTCATCACTGATTCTAATGCCTGTCTAAAAAAAATCTGAAATCAGAAATCAAACTATATCTCCACCTATTTTCTTCATCAAAGTGTCATAAACTTGGCGAAAACCTTTCGACCTATTCCTAAAACTTTGCAATCTCAAAGTCAAAAAAAAAAAGAATTTCTGCATCAAAATGCAGTGTATGTAATGCGACAAAAATGTGTATTGCAATGTATCATAATGACAATAAAAATCAAACGAATCGATTAAGAAACGCAATAATTCGTATATATTTGTTTGAACATTTTTTACCAATAATTACGAATTTTACCAAAATAAATAAAATATATTACACTGCCATGATGCATTGCACTGTTTACTAAAGAATCCCTAAAGAGTTTCCTCAAATACACTCCTACCAAACAATATGCCATAAGTCTAAACGCCAACCCTACAGTATACGTTCAAAGCAGATGAAAAGCCATTCGGCAAAAACGTATGGTCACAAATAAACTCAACCAAAAAGTTACACTTCACCCAAACTGTGTAAGACATTAACCGGTGAAGTTGTACAGGGAAAGAGCAGAAAGCATGCTTACGATGCCCTGGAGGATACGAATGGCCTTGATGGTGTGCACCCATTTCCTGTGCAGCGAGAGGACCGTCTTCATGTTGTCACCTCTCCCGTGAACACAAAGTCTCTGGGCCAAAGCGCATCACCCCTCGGCACAATGCATCTGTCTGCCTTTGACGTAAGACTGATGCCGCTGGCCTACATTCTGCACAAATCCCACCGTCCACAGCGATCCACGGCAGCCACGACGCAAAAAAACAAGCAATGAACTATTAAATTAAAATTTAATTTCAATTCATCAAATGATACGGCTCTGTCTGGGTTGACATTAAAAGCTCTTTGCAGCTTACAGAAGGCAAGTGCCACCTTCGAAACGCCGATGCTTTTGGATTGGGATTTCTTTCTGAAAGATGAGCTTTTGAACGTGCAAGAGGGACTGGTAGATTAGTAGTGATTTCATCGCTTTTTAATTACAATTTAGAAGGATTATGGGGCTTGAAGCACCTAAGCGCCATTATTTTCTCATTTGCGAAAGCCACATAGAATTAAATGCCTTACTATAATAGTGCTATTTTAGTCAATTGCGCAGTACTAAACATCATAAGTTCTTTGATCTATAACGGCTTTCTAACTCAGCCTCAAATCTTATTCATGACAGGATTAACGTGTGGCACATGAGCTGCCCTCAATTCTCTTTACTGTGATAACCAGAACAGATTACTGATGAACAATGTCAAAGAATTAATTTCTCACTGTAACTGAGCTTGTACCATAGCGCTGTACAACAGCAGGTCTCTGAGCTCTCAGTCCAACACCACAACAACAGACTGACTGAGACAACCTAGTAAGGGACCTTAGAAGTGTGAATGCGATTCAGTTTGGTTTCCTGTGCTCTTCTGAGGGGCATTCATTCAGTTTTCATACTCACTATCAACTGCCCTGAAACGGTACCAACCAAAACATTTGGAGAAAACTGACAATTTTACTATTGATCTTAATGGCTTCTACTTAAATGCTTGAAAATACTTTTGTAGATGCATTACATTATGTATGTATGAATTTCTGCATAAAATTAAAATGTAGAATTTATGAAATGAATGAATTGGACTGAATAGTTAAGGAAAAACAACCAACAAGTATCCAGACAATTAAGAAACAATCCAGAATAATTAAGTTTTGATTGGCGTTGTACACTACCCTTCAAACGTTTGGGGTCAGTGGGATTTTTAAAAGTCTCTTACGCTCACTGAGGCTGCATTTATTTGATTAAAAATACAATAATATATATTAAAATGTAATTTATTCCTGTGATCAAAGCTGAATTTCCAGCATCATTACTCCAGTCTTCAGTGCCACATGATCCTTCAGAAATCATTCTAATATGCTGATTTGCTGCTCAAGAAACATTTATTATTATTATTGTCAATATTGGAAACAGTTGTGCTGCTTTATAATTTTGTGGAAACCCATGTATTTAAAAAAAAAATTTAATTACTAATCTCTTTACTGTCACAGCACAACCCAGATGTTCGAATTTGTGCAACGCATTTTATGGACGACAGTTTTTTTAACCTAGAAGAGTACAAGGCTGGCTGTGCACAAAGGCTATTTCTAAAAAAAGAAGAAAAAAAAAACGTCAATTCCGGACTTTTGCAGAAAGGCGACAAGATGTCTACAGCGCAAGTCAACAATTTAGAGAAACACTGCCTGCCTGGTCTTATGACAGCAAAAAGTGTTCTTTGAGCTGTGATACTAAACACCTCATACAGGTAAGCATGGATTTGACAGCAGCAGGACATTTCTGTGCAGCAAGAATAAAAAACACCAGAAGCAAAAATCTTCAATTTACATGCACAATCTAAATACTACAATAGGGTGCATACTTTTCATTTTTATAGACACTGTAGCTTAAATTTTAAAGCATTTGCAGTTCAATCCAGCAAGGTATGCCATTGCTGAGCCACCAGAAAACATACTGAACTGTATGCAGTCTGCTGTTAGACAGAACAGGCTCAATGTGTGCAGCAGCAGCAGACAGAATTCCCTCTGCATTATAGATAAGCAGCTTTAGCTGTCTGTGTCCCTCAAAAAGACTGAAATCAGTCAATCCAAGCCCCAACATATATGTTTCTAGTGAAACATGTAAAAGTCTAATTTCAGATGATGCATGTGAGACTTACTGTATGATGAACATTATGCAAAAAGCATAAATTCAATCCAGGTTTGGGTAAAGAAGTGTAAACACAGAAGGGGAAAGGGAAAAAACTGAGCTCTTCTGAGCTGCTCTCTGGGGGGATTTGTTCGGTTCGGTGTAAAAACAGAAAGACTAATGGACAAGAAAATGATGCATATTAGCAGCTAAAATAATTCCATATTATGAAGTGTTGTAGGTTGTGACAGATTATGATGTTAATGTAAGACTGGTGAGGTGGTCCCTCTGCTGGTGACACCTTAAAAAAAATTTCTTTATTCCTTCATATTAAATAATTATGATTATAAACAATATTAAATAATTAATAAAACACACACATTAGCTTTCCTGAAGCTTATGTTTCCTATAACTGCTTGTGCTATCATTTTAAACAAAATATTAATTAAAACAATCCTTCAGTATGTACTTCATTTATTAAAAACAGTGGTAGTACTTCACGATATTTAAAAGTTAAGTAATTAGTCGGTTTAAACTTTTGATAGTTTATTTTATTCATTAAATGCCGCTTGCGATGGGAAACAGTTGTCCTTATAATCTGGTTTATAAGTAACGTAACGACGTTTAGATACATTATGTCCATCGCTATTGTTTGGTATTATAGGAAGCATAAGGTGGTTTTCCATGTAAGGTGGACACAGTAACAGAAACAAGTGTGGACCTCAGAAAACAGACTTTAAGTTCAAATGTACTCTCTGTGAAATTAAAATAAGCGAACTGAACGAGTTTTAACAGTAACGTTACTCACATGACAATCGTCCTTAACATTTCTACTCAGAAACAGCCGCCTCTCCACAACTACGGGCATCTCGCAAACTGCACTAGACTGTAAAATAAAGATGTTTACTTGAAAGAAATGGTTTAATATTTCGTGGTGAGTAAATAAAACGTATGGATAATAACTCCGAAACCTCTGAACAGCGACAACACAAGCGCCTAAAGATTTGAACTGTTGTACTGTAAATCCCGAACGTACCAATAAATCACTGGGGGTGGTAATGATATCCAACGATCTTTAACCTCTATTGAATTTGCGATTAATACCCATTTATTCACATTAAACTGGCTTTACCTTGCCGCTATAGATGGTTAGAAATTATTTGAGGAATTAAACAACGAGCAATGCTGTATTTCTTTCACAGCATACCCTATGAGGCACAATGGACGGTTCTAAAATCGCTTATCTATCGACTGTATTTGCATACCGGCTTAGCTCATGAATATCAATTAGGACACGCCCTGGCATTGCTTAGCAACCTTACTGAAGCTTCCAGACCCGTAACGTACGTAATTAATATTCATAAGTCAAGTCTTCCCCACTGTAGGACCGGTGTATTTTCTATGGGATAATCTCTTCAATGGTTAAAACGTTTGGAATTCCAAACTCCCTAAAGCCCTGCTCGGAACTTTGGATTAGTTTTACTTGGAGAAATAGGGTAAGGTCATAACTACCAGAGCTTGTCTGCGATTTTAATCTGGCCCGAATCAGACATTAATTTTAAAGACGGCGCGTTTATGTGGCGGTAAAGATTATAACGTTAGTGTCTTTTGCTATAAAGTTGTTCCGTGCCATTAGCGTGCTAAAAGTTGTTTCTCTGGTTCTCCAAGTTTCTGAAATGGGCGCTGGACACACAGAAGACCCCTGCAAATGAAAAGAGGGGCTCAGGGTCGGCGCCAGAGCGCACAAAGTGAGGGGGCAGGCACAATTGAAAAATCTGCTTTGAAAAAAAAAATGTTTCTGAAAGTAATTTTCAGATGCAACTGTAGTTTTGCTGTATAGGCCTATATACTTTTTTATTTTTTTACAAATACTAGAAAAAATTAAACACTGTTTTTGTCTATCTTATGTGACGGTGGATATGCCTGAGAAATCTTGTCAAGCATAACAAATTTATGTTGAATCATAGAAGAACTTCTCACTTTTAAACTTCCTTAAACTTATATATTGATGTCAGTTCCTCTTCATAATTCTTGAGGTAAGTAGAGAAATTAAAAAGAAAAGTTTTATATTTGAAAGCAAAAAAAAATATGTCTAGTGTGAATGGCAAACAAATGTTATATTTTGGAAAAATAATTAAGATTAAAAAATTGTATAAGATTAACAATTAAAAGATAAATATAAATATTCTATATATAATAATGATAAAAAAAATACCATCTCGTAAACAATTTTAAAAAGATATTTTTTTAAGCTTGGTGCATTTGTATATTTCAATTCCAACTTGTTTGAATAGCCTACAAAATACATGTCAACACGGGCAAGATGAATAATAATAATAATCACTATATGTTTTCATGAGAAATGTTGTGTGTAGTACCTGTAAAAGGGCTGGGTAGCTGGGAGCAGAGAGGCGTCGCAGACACAAATACTGAGCTTCGTGGGTCAAGGTTTGTGTGTAGTACCTGTAAAAGGGCTGGGTAGCTGGGAGCAGAGAGGTGTCGCAGACACAAATACTGAGCTTCGTGGGTCAAGGAAAACCTTTTGGAGCGGCGTGACCGGAATAACTCTATTTGGTTGGACTGGCCACTGTAAAAGACATGTTTAGTTAATAACACTGATCATAGACTCAACAACAACAAAAAATGTTAGTCACTGTAAAATCAGCTACATCTAGAGATATTTTCAGAGTAAAACTGAGCACGATCCATTATTTCTCACACAGCCCAAGTCTTAATCGCATAACCACAAGTCAGTATGACAGTATACACAGTACTCAGTTGATCTGTTAATAGCTCAAACATGTTTACTAAATGTTAGTGTGTGTGCATGTAAATAAATTGCCTAACCCTGCAATTACACCTGATCATGCAGTATGTTTTGTTGTAGCTTAGTCTGACAAGAAAATACAGAACTTAGCTTAACAAAAGTGCTTTGAGTATAATTCACAAAACAAGTGTAAGCACCTGCTCGGAGTAGAGTACACTTGATCTCCTTGGCAAGAAAATTGTAATTATTAACTGCGCTGTTTAGCATAACTGCTCAAATATGTTCATGAGGTCTTTGCCAGCAAAGTAGCCCGAAGGAATGAACTTTATTGTTTCAGTAATATGAGTTTCAGTAATTATTGTTTCAGTAATACGAGTCCTCAGGTTCAAGAAACTGAAACAGCTAATTAAGACTCTAAAATGTTCAAAAGAAAGCTAGATTTCTGAGTGACATTTCCTGATGATCATCCCTGAAAACTGATGTCTGAGTCGGCCTAACTTTTCACTGATAGTCTTGAGCCTATGTCAGAGGGCCACACAAATACATTCTCGGAGAGAAAAAAACTGAGGCAGTACTCTTTCAGAAGGTACTAATATGCAATGCACTATTTAGGTACCAATTTGTACACTTTTGGTGCTTTTACTGTTCTAATATATTCCCGTCTAGGGGTAAATAAAGTACAAAAGTGTCCCTTTTGAAAGGCACACAGCTTTTAGAGCCCAGGTCAAAAGAACCAGCCTCTATGGCTGCGTCTGAAATACTCTGAGTAGGTACTTGTTTAAAGTACTTACTTCATATTTGTTAAAAAATATGTTCTGTAGTATGAATGTAATTCTGTTGTACTACATGCCCCATGTTGTTGTTATCATGTGACCTATAGGTCTACAGCGTCAGTTGCGTCGCTTTTCTGTTATTTATAAATCCTCTCCAGTGGCCTCATGGGATAGTGAAGTGTCCATCAGATGCACACTTCAGAATCTTGCGTGAAGTAGTAGGTCATCTGGATCATTTTTCATCTACTTTTTATTATGTATTCGACAAATTCGGACATACTGCTCAGTTCATGTACTGCTTTTAGCCTACTGTATAGTAGGGAAATTGGCATATTCAGACACAGCCTATAGTATTCTGGTGACTAGTATGGCTAAAGACACATTGGCTCAATTTCACAATACTATATTCATACTTTAAATCTTTGTGTTAATAAGTAGGGATGTGCAATATGCCAGTACCATATTGCTTATGTGCCGAAATTGGAGAGAAAGGACCCCAAACAAACATTTAGTTTGGGTCCTTTTGTGGTTTGACTGAGTTCCCTTTTAAGTCCACTTACATTGTGAATCAAAAGCACTACGGTCAATTACAGCTGGTTCCTTTTCTGATTCACTTTAACTGAACTGCGTTTCATTTAAAGTGAGCAATATGTGAAAACACCCTTAAAGTGAACCTTTAAAAATGCTAATAATTTCAGAACAGTTCAATGTAATATCCAACATATTGCACGTCATTATTAAAAATTGTAATGCCCAAATTCACTTGTAGCATTTAAAACTACTGATTTTAGTTTTTAGCGTTTCCTTCCTATGTTTGGTATACATTTCCAATCGCAATCTTATTATGATATGCTATTGAACTATGAATCACAATGTGTATTGCATGACGTAAAGTAGATGACAATATTGAGTGTCTCTTTCAATGTTTGTACTGCATATGGAATTTTTAGTAATTTTATCATCTGCTGGATGAAATGTCAAAGTTCAGTCACACGAAATTACACGATCTGAGGTATCACTCATGTCTGAAAGTTTAATACTTAGCATGGGGTTTACAAAGCACCACCCAGAATTCAGTGTTAAGCAAAACTGATTTGCTCATTGAAAAACTCAAATACTTTCCAGGGTCATCATGTCACACATAGAGTAACAATTATAGTACAGCAATTATAGCATTTATACTATAGTAGAATGAGCGACAATATATACTCAAACACATCCGATCATTAGTGTTGTTAACACACCAATGTACCAGCTACGCCGGTCTCGAACAATACCAAACATTCATTTCCTGGTTTTTCTCTCTAGTATCTGCTACATAACTCACCCCGAGGGTCTCCACAACCTCCGGCCGGGTGGCAGCAGCTCGCGCTTGTTGATCTCTGTGTGTGTGTGTGTGTGTCTGTGCGCTTTGCACGTGTGTGGCAGAACTGAAGATACGCTGTGTGAGATGCGGCTTGTGCGCGCGCTTCAGGTGTGAGTCTGTCAGACAGCAAGACGAGACGGCAAAGAGTTGTTTTCTGCAACTTATTGCACTTAACTTTTTAACGTCAAGCAATTCTCTGCAATATGTGTTGAACTAAAACTTTGACCTTTTGCAACGTTTTGATTTAAGTAGCCTATTATTAAAATGATTCAGATATCGCACAGCCTTGCGATATGCGTATTGCGATATTTATATTTGCGATATTTCGATCATTTCGATATATCGTGCAGCCCTAAAAGCCACACAAAGGTAGTATTAGTTTCATTAAAACTGTCATTAAAACGCTGCACTCTAAATAGTGGCATTGATAAACCAATAGTGACTGTAAACTACAATTACCACAATAAGATTTCTGTATTTTCTTAAATGTGATCATAAACCAAGTTGCCTCATTTTGTCAATGCTATCTTAAGTTTTTTTTTTTTTTGTAAACTAAAATAAAAGTAATAGCAATCTACTAGAGTAAACAAACACGAATCAAAGCACCTTCCAATATCAGCACAAATGGCGGCTGAACCACACACTATAAATGGTTCAGTCAGCAATTACGTGCTGAAGCCTGTTGCAGATGTCAGCAGTGTTGTGACCTCACTCATACAGACAAGCCCGTATACATCTGCACACACACGGCTCTCATTACACTTACATTAGACATAATAATAGCACTTACACAATATCACTGCTGGTCTAACCACTTCACACTACAGCAGTTTAAGAGACACAATAAAAAATGCATTTAACAACAGTAGCCTACTTGTTTTTTTGTTTTGGGTAATATGTCAGACCACTTCGAAAAGTAACAGTGTACTTTTCCTCAACAACCTACGCAATTTAAAGGGACAGTTCACTCAAAAATGAATATTCTGTCTGTTTACTCACGCTCCTGTTGTCCCAAACCTTTCTGGAACATGGAAGAAGATATTTTAAAAATGTCTTTTCATCCATACAATGGAAGTCAACAGTCACCAAAATTATTTGGTTACCAACATTCTAAAAAAAAAATTTTTTTTTAATATTTTGAAGACTTGACTAAATAATATTCTTCAAAATATAAATAATATTTGTTTTAATGCTCCACAGAAGAAAGAAAGTCATGCATGTTTTTGGAACAACACGAGGGTGAATAAATGATAACCAAACTTTCATTTTTGGTAGAACTATCCCTTTAATATGTCATTCATACAGCACAATGTTCACACCAAAGTTTAATACAAAGGATTTAGTGTTTGTTTAAAACACAATATGAACAATAGTCTTTAGCAAGCACCACTAATAATAACTGAGAAATGCACCAGTAGTCATAACCCGCTGATACTGTATTGTGTACTTCCAAACTGTTGACCTTCATGAACAAATGACCTTTGTGCTCCACTCTGACACAATGTAAAATCTGCTCAGGCACGCAGACTCAGTCCAAACTTGAACACATTCTGTAATACGCCTGAGGAACATTAAATAGCACCAGTATCAGAGGTTTTTCCTGTAATATGAAAGGCAGACGCCTCAAATAACATATTCAAACCAGTCTGATCCTGAACATTATTTTGTAGAAGATACCAAAATGCACCAGTATTAAATAACACCATGAAATAATAAGATTCTTAATATCTAGAAACTTTTGCCATGCTTGTCAGAATATACTTAGATATTTCTAAGAATGCTCATCTAATTAATTTTACAGCGTAAATTTTTTACAAGTCAGCTCAAGTGGATTAAGAACTCAAATGCATTATGAAACCTGACGTAACAAAAGCAATTCGCTATTTTCAGTCTACTGATTCAGCTGGGCTCATATTATAACATTATGTTTGAAACCTTGTAGAAATGTCAGAAATTCACAGGTAAAGGATTTTGTGTATTCTCATGTATTTCAGCTATTGTCCAAGTCTTTAATGCCTTTACGTAAGCGGAGCGTGGCAGTGTAAGCCGCAGTCTTTCCCATATGTTCGGCTCATGCAGAATCACGTCTACATTATGCAATGCACATATGTACTGCCATCCTCTGACAGATGTATATTCAATCCTCAAATAAATCATGTCATATTTCAATCACACCTCAGACAGCATCACTAAGTAAAAATATGTATAGACCTGTAATAACTCATGATTATCGAATCGCCTGCGATTATGAACCTAATGATTATTGCCTAATTGTCAGAGAACTACGGCTCTGTGTATACCGCTCCATCTGAAAGCAGCTGATGGAGATTTACTACTAATCACGGAACCGGCTTTACTGACGAGATGCGCATGACAATCGCATGCGACTAATTGCACAGCCCTACTATTTCAAATTGCTTTGAACAAATTGCACTTTAAAGTACACTATATACATTTTATCATGGCTTTAAGATTTTAAGGATCATTATTTTAGATGCATGAAAAGTTATATTATGGTTAGTTGTGTTATTCTGGGTTTATTTTCCAAAACAGCAGCACTGAAAAGGAAACACTCATGTTATTTGTCCCTTTCTAACCACTGTTGTCCTCATGCGAGTAACTCTGAGTCACTGTCCAAAACTATGAGTCCCTCACACTCCCCACCTGGACACGACGAATGACAGAAAGACTCTAGAGGTGCGGCACTGAACACAGAATAACACGGCTTCATTTACTACTCATGTACAGTTACAGTTCAGAGTTTGGAATAATTGAGTTTTTTTTTCTCTTTTGCTCACTAAAGCTGCATTAATTTGATTAAAAATGCAGTAAAAATACATATATGCTGATTTGGTGCTTAACTTGATCAGTTATTATTGTTACTAAATTATTAATAATAATTTTTATATTACTATGGATGTTGAAAATTGTTTTTCCTACTTAATATTTTTATTTAAACTGTTATCATTTTTTGAGGATTCTTTGATAAATTGAAATTCTTTGAAAAAAATCTTTTGTAAGACTATAAATCTTAATTACCCAACAATTTCGGAATGGTTGTGTATTACGGTTTACACAAAAATATTAAGCAACACAAATCATTTTCAATAAATATGATATAATAATAAAAATGTTTCTTGAGCAGCAAATCAGCATATCAGAATGATTTCTGAAGGATCATGTGGCACTGAAGACTGGAGTAATGATGCTGGAAATTCAGCTTTGCATCATAGTAATACAACTGCATTTTAAAATATTCAAACAGAAAACAGTTATTTAAAATTGTAATAATATTTCAAAATATTACAGTTTTACTGTACTTTTAATCAAATAAATAAGCCATGAAGAGACTTCATTCAAAAACATTTTTAAAAATCGGTGTATATTTCCTGTTTTATGTTTTTTCCCCCTACATTTTGTTTCGCTTTGTCAGACAAGTTCAAATTTTTAAACATAAGCAGTTATTGTTATTATTAAGAAAATTTGCCTAATCAAAATTATCCGAAACTACTACAGCTAGAAGCTCTTCTTTTGAATACATTTCCAATTGTTTAAAATAAAAAAAAATGCAATCGATTAATCATAAAATAGATTTGTTTAGCAAGTAAAAGCGTACAATAGTTTAGTTAAACGTCTCCGAATCGCAGCGTATTGAGGGGGAAAATCACTGAAGTTTCGTGAGAAACATGCAGGACAGGGAACACATATCATGACATGTAAGTTAGGCCTAAAACACGCTGCCAACGCACGCCAAATGCGCTCAAGAGAAAACGAAATCAAATTCAAGCCTATACTAAAGTTCACATTAATGTGTACATTATCTAAAAGCAGCAGTTTTATGTTCATATGACATTACTCAAGTTTTAATCCGCCTCCTCCCCAAAACAATAGACAACCGAAACCAGTCAACAGGGAAACGCGACAAAAACAACAAAACTCCTCCAGAGTGAAAGCACGTACCTTTAGAGGAGCAGATACTGAAGATCCATGAACTCTGACAGACGCACGCGAGGTTCGGTGTGATCTATATGTGACGGGACACTTAAACAGAAAGACTGAACAGCCCGGTTCTGTGTACAATCCCAGATTTCCTGAATCTTCCAGGTATGGGCGTGTCCACGAGCGCGCAGGTGAGTGCAACAGCGCATTCCCAAATCACGTGACCACGCCCACACCTGACCAGCGGATTTAATCAAACCATAAGCCTCCATATGTCATCTTTAAAGTCTGATGATTTAAAAGCTTTGTGTCGTGACTAGATGGTTTCTTCTTTCTGAAATGTAGTGGTCAATCTTGTAGGAAATATTGTTACCATAAGGGTCAGGATAGAAGATAATAATAATAATAAAAAAAACATTACATTTATAAATGGTAAAATGTTTTTAAAGATGATTTATGAAGTTAATGATGTTCCCTGCATTAATGATATAATAGTTGTGAATAATTCAGATGTTAAGAAATGCTCAAAAAGTGATTTGAAATAAAAACTGTGCTAAAGAGGTCATTTTTAATAACTATATAGTTAAAATCACTCAAAATATCTGATCAAATATGCTTATGGTGACATTTAGCTTTGGGCCTATTTTTCATGTTTTTTTAATCATATAAACTTATTTTAAAATCCACACGAGTTGTGTTCTTATTGTAATATATATATATATATATATTAGTGCTGTACTACATCTCACATTTTAAAAAAATATTTTTTTTTGTTTACATACTTTATTATTTGAATTTCCTAAGAAGAAGAAGAAAAAAAACTGTATTCGTGCGGTACACACGCGTAGCTACCGAACCGAAAGACCCGTACCGAAACGGTTCGGTACGAATACGTTTACCGTTACACCCCTAATATATATATATATATATTTGGTTTGAGACTAAAAATATGCAAATTATCATTTAAAAGGGCCTTTATCTCCTTGTAATAAAAATGTTAATATATAATACAGTATATAATTTACATAATATATTGATTTGAAGAAAGCCAGGTCTTTACATTACTATATTTAAAAAATCAAATGCTACAACTCATAATCAAAGATCATTTGTCTTACTGAGACAAACAACACCAATACACCCCCTAGTGGACTGTATGCAAACAGTGAAAACACTGTAGCATTCACTATAGCATGCACTATTATTTTTCAATAACAGATGAAGAGCACTGCTATCTTTAATTTTGTTATAACCACGAATAAACATTAGAATAGCTTAAAATAAAATTACTGGTGTGTTAATAATTTTGCATCTCTTCAGGCACATAATTTGCTATCTATACTCGTGTATAACAGAAAAAGTGGAGAAGTTCTTGTGAAGATGCAGCATTTAATAGCAACTATAAACATTCTACATCAAAGCACATTTAATTCATATATTACTCTAATCAAAATACATTTAAATTTAAATACATCTTATAAAAAGTTTTTAAAGATTTATGGTTTTTAACATCTTAAACCCATGTAAATCTTTACACGAAGTAACATTAACCATGATAATACCCCCCCCTCCCCCACATCGTGCGTCAAAATCACATGACCAAACATAATATTTAATCCATGTTCACTAGTGACAATGTAACTAATGTTTGGTACTAGTTACTGTACTATAATGATCAGATGAAATGAAATCATTACTCACACAATACAAGTCAGGAGTGCTCAGAACATAATTATACCAGGATTATTATATAATAAACCTATTTCTCTGTATGACACATGCTTTAATCAGGTATCACGCCTTTAACATGCATACCAACCAGTGCGTTACAGCAGGGAGTGTAACTATTATTATACAACAATCTTGTGCTTGCAAGTGGGTACAAAGTGCACAGACAGTGTAAGGCACTGCAGTACTATAGTGTGGCAATCGCTCTGCCACTCTTTCAAACAGTCAGAACATAATTATACCAGGATTATTATATAATAAACCTATTTCTCTGTATGACACATGCTTTAATCAGGTATCACACCTTTAACATGCATACCAACCAGTGCGTTACAGCAGGGAGTGTAACTATTATTATACAACAATCTTGTGCTTGCAAGTGGGTACAAAGTGCACAGACAGTGTAAGGCACTGCAGTACTATAGTGTGGCAATCGCTCTGCCACTCTTTCAAACATAAGGCCTTTCTCAGTCCATGTGAATTAGCAGCTAGAGATATCCGTTGTGCAAAATGTTGACAGCATGTCTTGTAGATGTTTGGATGATCTGGTCCACTTCAGAAGGCCTCATGCATCACTAAAACAGAAAACAATATGAGCCACAAACACAGATCTGACACAAAAGAGTTTGAGTTCCAGAGGAACTTGATCATGTGTCATTTAATGAGAGCCAATATCAATACTGACCAAGTAGACGTCCAGACCGGACTCGGGTGTGCTCGCCTGTGAGTTTGAAGCAGGAAGAGTGCTGTCCTCTAATGCAAGAGTCGAGCTGGACGTCCTATAATCATCTCTGAGGACAAACAACACAGTGACATCAGCCAAACAAGAAGGTATGTGCCAATCACATCGTGTTTATAGCTTAAAAAAAAGAAGAGGAAGCTCTGTGAAGAAATATGGAAGTTTACAAAGACCTTTTTAGTTGAACTAATGCGTATGTCCGATGGAAAAGTGTGTGTGTTTATACGTAAACACCTGTTCTCTGAATCTGTTTGCGGTTCAGTCTTCACATCATCTAGAGAGGAAGCAGAAGACATAGTGGCGGCTGAAATCGCTGGGTTGAGTCTGGTGGAGCTGGGAATTACATCAGGTTTCTGAGAGGAGCGTGTTTCTGTCAAAAAGAAGCATCTTATCGTATTAAATATCAATCTTGAATGTGTAAAAATATTGTTTTGAATGGTATCCCTTGTGAAACAAAAGTACACTTTAGCATATGTTTAAAAAGAGTAGTTACTGCAGAAATAATGTATTATAGTTTCAATTTATATTAGTGCTGTCAAACGATTCATCGCAATTAATCGCATCCAAAATAAAAGTTTTTTGTTTACATAATATATAAAATGCAATTCGTTTTTTTGCTTTTTTGACTGACTTCAGTACATCTTCATATGTAATTTCATAAATATTTCTATTGTCTTTGAGAAATGGTTAACGTGTACGGACGAATGTACTGACAAGTATTTATGACAAACTTGAAACTTGTATTCTATTTAATTAAATATATTCATAATTACACATTTGTAATGATGAAGTTGCAATTTAAAATAAATTAACTTTAAATTTAATATCAAATGTTGACATAATTAAGTACTCTACATGTGCTTTAGTATGCTAGTCAACACTTCAAAATAAGTGCACTTCTTCTTGATGTGTTGACTGACATACTAAAGCATATTAAAGCATAATGATTAATAATGTACTTTAATCTTTTCATTTGACATTATTACAAAGTTTCCTTTTCAAAAGTCTACTGTATTAAGAAACAGTGTCTCTTTAAGTACACTTAAGTGGTCTTATATTAATATTATATTATCTGCAAGTAAAGTTTTAAAAAATATACTTGTAATATTTGAAGAACACTACAAGTGCACATTTAATACAATTCTGTCATGACAACTCTCGGAGGGATTGGCATGGTAATGTACATGACAATGTTAATGTATTTGGTCTTGGCGGAATAGATCTGCTACGCTGCTGTTGCGGCAGAGCAAGTACCGAGACTTGCTACTACCAATACATCCACAACATGCTGCTGTGAGCATGTAAGAAATACTGCTGCTGCACATATACGCATATGAATAACCCCATAGCATACATGAATCACCTCGTAGCAGATCTATACAGGTGGAGCTGGGGAAGGTGGAGGGTTTCTGAAGCACGCTGCAAACTGCTTCAGCAAGCATTAGTCATATATTTGAATGTTGAGCAGCGAGCTCCACACTTTTTTCACAAGGGATAAATAGTGTTATTTCAACAAAGAGATTGATTTACAATTTTAGTTCACACAAAAATGTCAATTCTGTCATTATTTACTCACACTCATAATGTTCCAAACTCCACCTCAAAAATAACAGTATGCAGGTTTGGAACAGGTGAGTAAATAATGACAGAATGTTCGTTTTTTGGGCTGAACTGCTCCTTAAAGTAAAAAAAATCTATGACTTTTAAATGTGTGTATTAGTGAATTTCTCTTCAAAATCAATAAGCACCTGTATCATCGAAGTTTTCGAGGCTTTGTGCCCTCCTTTCTTCTTGACTCTCTTCGTTTAAAGTCGACAGAACTTCCTGTGAGGCCGACCTACACGGCTGTATAGAGTTCTTCTTCCTTCTCGAGGATGCACCACGAAGAGCTAAAAGTAAAAACAAAGAGGGAAAAAAGTGAGATGTAGTATGGCATTTTAAATGATCCTATTTCACTGAAAATAATAAAGAAGCAACTTACGCTGAATCTTTTTAAATACTGTGGTGCCCATGAACTTCAGGAATCTGTCAGCATAGAAATTCGGTCTATGGACAGATACTGTGTCCTAGAATGCAAAGTAGCAAAGAAAATCATGATTATGTTCAAACAGAAGTATATAAAAAATATATTTCATGAAAAAAGAAAAATACATACGCCATCATGCACAAGAGCCTTCCATGAGTGCTCAACCTTCTTTATAAATCTGTATATAAGATAGAAATGTTAAATATTGGAATTTGTAGTCATCTTTAATTTAAATAGTAATTATTCTCATCTTTTGTCAGATGATTCATACCTATAGGACTGCAGGATATCAATGATTCCCAGAAAGATCAGCAACTTTTCATCTTTGTGTTTAGCAGGGATGCCACCCAATCTAGAACAAAAACACATGATTACTTCAAAACCAATCCAAAGTCGGTCATAAAATGTATTGGAAATATTTTAGCAACATAATGGAAATATTTCCAGCTTTTCAAAATTACCCCCCTTTTTAACCAGTTAGATAATCAGAGAAGTTTTGTATATATACACGGTAAGATTCTTTAAAATGTCTCACCAAGGATTAATTTATTTGACCAAAAATACAGTAAAACTAGTAATATTGTGAAATATTATTAGAATTTAAAATAACAGTTTTCTATTTGAATATATATTCAAATGTAATTTATTCCTGTGATCAAAGCTGAATTTTCAGCATCATTACTCCAGTCTTCAGTGTCACGTGATTCTTCAGAAATAATAATAATATTCCAATATCATTCTAAAGAAACATTTCCGATTATCAATGTTGAAAACAGTTGTGCTGCATCATATTTTTATGGAAACCATGATACAGTTTTATTTTCAGGATTCTTTGACGAATAGAAATTTCAAAAAGCATGAAACATAAATGTAACAATGCAAAAACTGTAACAATGTCTTTACTGCTGTCATGTTCCCTTTTGGTTTCAGTTTCGTTTTCATGGACTTTTAGTTTGTATCACCTTGTTTTCATGTGTTTTGTTCCTGTTTCCTTTGTTCTATAGTTTCCACAGTAACTCATTGGTTCATTGATTGCGTTCGCTTGTATCTTGTTTACTTCCTCATCAGCCTGTGTGTTTATACGTCCTCAGTCCTTTGTTCGGTATCGTCTTTGCATGTTTTGTGTAAAGCTGTTGCGGTTTCTTCTGCTCCTACAGTACATTATTGAATTATGTTCTTTTGTTCTGTTAGCTAATAAAAGTATTTAAGCTTAAATAAAAAAAAAATCAAGATCACTGAAGACAAATAAACAGTCACTTAAGAATAAGAAACTAATTACAAGCAATATGACAAAAAACTACAGTAGAACAAATAAATAATAATACATTGTATAAAGTAATAAAATGTATAAAAACACTACATATTCTTCACTGTGTAAATTAAATATATATTTCTTCTTATTAAAGTTACAAAAGTGAATTAGTCAAGAGCAGAGCGAGACTTTCCCTTTTGCTTGTTTGATTAAAGGGGTCATATGATGCGATTTCAAGTTTTCCTTTCTCAGTGTTACAATCTGTTCGTGAATAGATACGATCCTTAAAGTTGCAAAGACTAAAGTCTCAAACCCAAAGAGATATTCTTTATAAAAGTTAAGACTCATCCACGCCCTCCTAAAACGGCTCGTTCTAACACGTCCCCACATGTCTACGTCACGATGTGGGAAGATTTGCATAACGCCACCCAAATGTTCACGCAACGAAAGAAGGCGTAACTTTTATTCTCGCTGTAGTATTGTTGCCGCCGCCGCCATGTCGTGAAG